GGAACAGTGAGCTCTACGTTCGCAGACTCTGTTAGGGATATTCTGCCACTGGTACCACACCGTTCTGATACCGGGGCTCTCTTAGCGTATGGTGGCACACGTGTCACTTTTACCCTACTCCCTTGTTTTGGCCTTGGGTAAGTTACTTTAGATTCTCTAAGCCTCAGTTCCCCCTCCGAACTGGGGATAATGTTAATACCTCTCTCATAGGCTTTGAGGAATAAATGAGATAACCCATGTGAATACTTAGCCCAATAAATTTTTGATATTAGCTATAATTATTAGAGCATACTGCCTAGTACTATGCTTCATGTATATTCAAAAAATTAATGCTAATTTGCTTATTTACTCACACTAAGAAAACTTGGAATGCTTTCCTAGGCAAGTTTTTAAGCTAGGGTAGTTAAATGTGATTCTTTTGTGTTTTTGTAAGATTATATTTATTTATTTGTCAAAGAGAGAGAGCACAAGCAAGGAGAGTGGGAGAGGGAGAAGCAGGCTTCCCGCGGAGCAGGGAGCCTGATGCGGGGCTCGATCCCAGGACCCTGGAATCATGACCCGAGCCGAAAGCAGTCGCTTAACCGACTGAGTCACCCAGGTGCCCCTGATTGTTTCTTTTCAAATGCTCTAAAATTCTTGTCCTGGCCTATACCTTTAGTATAAGAGAGTTTTAAAATTACCTTTTGTAAAATGTTTTTTATTCAGTTTAAATTCTGATTCTTCCTGAACATCATAACTCTAAAAATAGGACATGGCAGATGAATGCCTTTCTTTTCAGGATGGAAGTCAAACTTCTGCATCGTCTTGTGACGAGGCTGAGATGCAGAGTGGCAGCCAGGAGCAAGCTGAGAGGGAGCCGGCTGACCACGGCACCAAAACCAGGAGAAGGTGCAGGACGGTCCACAGGAACCCTGACTCCCAGGTGAATGGATGTGTGCAAATTTTGACCACCACCTGTGCCAAAATGGGTATATTCTTAGGAAACTTTCTCTTTGAATTTCCTCATGACATCCAGTGGTTGTAAACTCTGTGTGCTATCAGCTCCATGAAAGCACGGACCCGAGTCTAGACTGGTCATCACACAGAGTGAGAAGCACTCACTGAGGATTGAGCACAAATTAAATATTGGTTGAGTAAATATGAAAGAATTAAGTGCTCGTTTAAGTGAGGGCTAGTAAGAAGGGAAGAGAAACCAACATTAGTAAGATTTTTTTTTTCCTCTTCAACTAGCCTCAGACCTAGTTGATCACTCTTCAGTTGGTCATTTAGCATAATGGTCAGATGATTAGCCAGGGGCAGGGGCTTCCCTCAATTACTTTGAGAGGACTCTGATTTTATTCTTTTTTATCCTCTCATTCAAATGTAACTTTACAAGACACAGTCCTAATTTTTATTTTCTAACTCCATAGAGTCCCTAGGAGAGCTAATCTTGCCTTTTAAGCTTTTCAGTGGCCCCCTAGTATGTCCTGTTCCCAACTCTGCCCCCCAGAAATCTAATTCTCCTGGTTTTCTTCCTTTAGCCCCTTTTCAGTGTGGGTGTCTGTCTTTGGAAGGCAGTGGTGACTTTTTATCATTTAAATCCTTTATTCCCTTTTAACATTTGTAGCAGGATGATTCAGAGATAAAAATAAGTGATCACGCTGAATTGCAGAATCAAGAGAAGCAGGAAAACCAGGATCTCAGAACAGTTGCAGAAGTTCCTTCACCACCAGATGAAAGCCAAGGAGAGGAGAATGCCGTTTCCTCAGGAAAAAGAAGAATAAATGGTATGCCAACATAACAAAACGAAACCCTGAAATTCCTAGGGGTACCCCTGTGCGTTCATTTCCTAGGACTGCCATAACAAAGTACCACAAACTAGACGCGTTGTCCTCAGGTCCTATCAGGTTACTAAAGGTTAAGGCTTCCACCTACCTTTCTGAGGAATACAGTTCAACCCAGACACCATGCTGTGGAACTAAGTGTTCTACAATTACAGCAGAAGTTAAAACCAAATACACTAGCCCATCAAGTGTCCTCTCCAGTACTGTTGTGGAAAAACCAGCGGAAGAGTGGTAGCTGGGAAGTTGATCTCCACGTGGACAAAACGTGGCCTCTCCTCCTCCCCATCACTCCTGGCCCGCTCTGGACACCTGTGCAGAGCTGTGTACCTGCTCCTTCACAACCGCTGAAAGGGGGCCGCAAAGTCTCCCTTCCCGGGGGGGGGGGAGGTTCTTAGCCTCTAACCTTCTAAAATCCTCTTCCCTAAACTGTGTCAACTAAAAGTTTGTTTCAGTGAGACCAGAAAACTTCAGTTCCCCCAGACCCAACAGGACTCGGTGCTTTATGATTTCATTCCCCGGGAAGCCCGCCAACCACTGCGGTGTCTCGTGTTCGCGTCCCCGCCGCAGCCCTGTCTGCGCCCCGGAGGCGGCGCCTGATGGGTGGGGAGAGAAGGGGACCCACTCCCGTGGCCTCCCCGCAGTTACGCGCAGAACTGCTAATGCTGAGCCTTCCCGCGTGCCCCAGAATTTGGAATGTCTTACCAAATGTAGAAAGTTGCTGGAGGTACAGTTTCTGATTCTGACTGAGCCTGCGAGCCTGCAATTTTTGATCAACACCCTGGGGGATTAAGATGCATATGCCTCATAAACCCACTTTAAAATCATGATTTAGAGCAAGATAGAAATGTGACGAAGAGTCAGAAGTGGAGGTGGGATTACCAGTGTCTGCTCTTGCACCCATCGTTTTGTCAGGGAGACTTAGCTGCAGGACCCGGTTTCAAGGGCGTGGAGAAACAAGGGGGGGCGCATTAAGTTCCCCTAATGAAACACAAGCTGTTGGAAGAACAAAAATAGGATCACGTGGTTTCTGGTAAGAGGTTTTTTTTGTTTCTTTTAACTTTTTATTTTGACATAATTTCAGACTTAAAGTTGCAAGAACAGTACCAAGTGTTGCTCTGTTCTTGATTTCCAAAATGTTAACATTTTGCCACATTTACTTTGGTCCTTCTCTGTTTATATTTATATACACATATGCATCCGTATAGGTGTTGTCTACATTTTGTTCCCGGAGAGTAATTTGCAGAAATGTGCTCCTTGCCCCCTAAATACTTCAGCGTGTGTTTCTTAAAACACAGGTTTTAGGGGCACCTGCCTGGCTGACTGAGTTGGTAGAGCATGTGACTCTTTTTTTTTTAAGATTTTATTTCACAGAGCACAAAGCAGAGGGAGAGAGAGGAAGAAGCAGGCTCCCTGCCGAGCAAGGAGCTAGATGTGGGACTCGATGCCAGGACCCTGGGATCATGACCCAGGTCTAAGGCAGCCACTCAACGGACTGAGCCACCCAGGTGTCCCAAGCATGCGACTCTTGATCTCAGGGTCGTGAGTTCAAGCCCCATTTTGGGCCTAGAGCTTAAAATAAAACAAAAAAACACAGGACTTTCTCTCACAAATGTATGGAGTACAAAAAGCTCATTGGTAAGGATTCATAGTCCACATTGCAACTAACCTTTAAGAAACTACCATTTGTCGGGACACCTGGGTGGTTTAGTTGGTTAAGCATCTCCCTTCAGGTCAGGTCAGGATTTCCGGGGTCCTGGGATCAAGCCCCACATCGGGCTCCCTGCTCGGCGGGAGGCCTGCTTCTCCCTCTCCCACTCCCCCTGCTTGGGTTCCCTCTCTGGCTGTCTCTCTCTCTCTGTCAAATAAAATCTTTAAAAAAAAGAAAGAAAAGAAATGAAACTACCATTTGTCAAGTGGTACTTAGCATAGTATCAGAAAAGAATATCCACAGTTCTCTGAAAAGGCTTAATATTACAATACTCTCCCCTTTCAACCACCTGTTTGTGGCAAGATTTGTTTTCATATATACTTAAAACAATATATCATAATATACTGTATGCAAAAGCAGCTAAGAGAATCCAGCTGTCTTTAAGTCAGACATTAAGTAATCGGTGAAAATATGCCGCCATCTCACTATTTTTGTTTTAGAAATTTTAGCCATTTTTCATAAATGTTTTTGTTAACATAAACAAGTACATTGTTTTTTAGTGTATCAAACATTTTTTAATGTTTTAATTGTAATACCTACTGGCACATACTGATAGAATGTAAACAAAAATGGGGGCATCCTCCACAATTTCTAAGAGTATAACATGATTCTGAGACTAGAAGTGTGAGAATTGCTTATCTGTTCTATAGATGACCTTATTTAAGTTTCATGAGTTACTCCTTATTTTTTTGTTGTTAAAGAAAACTATTTTTTTTAATTTTATTTATTTGTCAGTGAGAGAGAGCACAAGCAGGGAGAGTGGCAGGCAGAGGGAGAGGCAGGCTCCTCGCTGAGCAAGGAGCCCCATACAGGACTCGATCCCGGGACCCTGGGATCACGACCCGAGCCGAAGGCAGACACTTAACTGACTGAGCCACCCAGACATCGCTTCATCCCTTCATGAGTTATTCTAGTCATGTCCATTAAAGCAAAGGAAAATCTTGGCTCTTGGATTTCATCGTCATGTCTCTTTAGTCTACTTTAATATGGAACATTCTTCAGTCTTCCTTGAAGTCTCTGAGGATTTTTTTTTAATGTTTACATTTTTTAATACAGGCCAATTTTGAGGGTCCTCAGCCTTGATTTGTCTAATATGTGCTGAGGGTTAGATTTAGATCCAGCACCTGTAGCAGGGATCCCACAGAGTAATCCTCAGTGCCCCCCAGAAGGCACAGATGGTGGCTTGTTAACAGGTGATCACCCTGCTAAGTTACTCCTTTGGGAAGTTGCTTTTTTTTTCCCATTTGTAATAAGTATCTGGTGAGGTGTGACTCTGACTCCATTGATACCCTGTTTTGCATGGAACTTTACCTTTCTGGTTTTGGAGGGAAGTTCCAAGCAGAAACTCCTGCAGCCCCTCCTGCTCTACCCAGTAATTCTTTGATGTCTTATGGATGAATTGGGAAACCTTTAGTATGAGTGACATGATTATAAATAGTAATTCTTGAAAACCCACTTGGGTTTGTTTTTTTTTTAAGATTTTATTTATTTATTTGACAGAGATACCAAGAGCAGGAACATAAGCAGGGCGAGTGGGAGAAGGAGAAGCAGGCTTCCCGCAGAGCAGGGAGCCCGATGTGGGGCTCGATCCCAGGACCTGGGATCATGACCTGAGCCGAAGGCAGACGCTTAACGACTGAGCCACCCAGGCGCCCCCGACTTGGATATTTTTAAGTAGATTTCCTCAAGTTGAAAAAGATAACAGAATGTTGTTGTTGTAAGTGAGAGAAAATGGCTAGTACATACACCATGATTACAGCTAGATTTAAAGAATAAAAACCAGTATGGAAGCGGAGGGCCTGAGGAAATATGCCAAAATGCTCATGGTAAGGATGTTTCTTAGGTTGGTGGGATTGTGTAATTTTTTTTTTTTTTTAAGATTTTATTTTTAAGTAATCTCTACGCCTAATTTGGCGATCGAACTTACAACCCTGAGATCAAGAGTCACATGCTCTACCAACTGAACCAGCCAGCCATCCCAGGATTGTGTGATTTGTATCATTCTAGTTACAATAACCTGTTCATAGCAAAAGTTTTGAAAAAGTGTTCTTAAATTTCTTTTATTATTTATTTATTTGAGAGCATGAGCCAGGGGCAGGGCATGGAAAGGGAGAAGCAGACTCCCCACTGAGTAGGGAGCCCAATCGCGGCTTGATCCCGGGACCCTGGGATCATGACCTGAGCTGAAGGCAGACGCTTAACCGACTGAGCTACCCAGGCACCCCTTAAATTTCTGATATATTTACATAACTTCTATACAAGAAGCATAAAATTTCTTCCTGCTTGAAGCATATGAGCTAAAATTGTAGTGATGCTATAACTCATTCTTTGTGCTCATTTTTCCCACCACCTTGCAGACCTCATCACATGAAAATACCCTCCTGTTAACTTCTAGACCTTTGGGGCTCCTGGGTGGCTCAGTCGTTAGGCGTCTGCCTTCGGCTCAGGTCACAATCCCAGGGTCCTGGGATCGAGCCCTGTGTCAGGCTCCCTGCTCCGCGGGAGGCCTGCCTCTCCCTCTCCCACTCCCCCTGCTTGGGTTCCCTCTCTCACTGTGTGTCTCTCTGTCAAGTAAATAAAATCTTAAAAAAAAAAAAAAAAGCTTCTAGACCTTTTTTTTCTTTTAAGTTTCATTTATTTTAGTAATCTCGACACCGAATGTGGGACTCAAACTCACAACCCTGAATTCAGGAGTCGTACACTCTGAGCCAGCCAGGCACCCCCAACTACTAGACGTTTCTTTTCTTTCTTTTTTTTTAAATTTTTTATTGTTATGTTAATCACCATACATTACATCATTAGTTTTTGATGTAGTGTTCACTACTAGACGTTTCTTAATATAGGAAGAACTTGTTTTGAAATCTTTGATTAGTTCTGTATCTCTCAATTCAGGTAATGAAGATTCAAAGGTACCTTCAGAAAGAAAGAAGCCTCTCTACACAGATGGGTTTTCCAAACATGGAAAAAGCAAAAGAAATACGAGTACTACTCCAAGTAAGTTTTACACACACACACACACACACACACACACAAAGTAATAGTTGGCACTTGCAGGCTAATGCCAAATAGGCAATGCGCAAGGACGGCTAAAAGCCTGAACGCTGGAACTGGGCCTTGCAGCCTCATTATCATTTTCTAGCTCGGAGACCAGGGGCCTCTGATCCTCAATAAACCCACTTCCTCAGTTGACAGTGCGAGCGAGTCGACTACCTGTTTCATCAGGCTGATACACACAGACCTGACATTGCCCCTCCAGTTCCAGATCACTGCCAAAAGCGATGACTGCAGTGAAGTGAATCAAAGGAGTTTGTGTCCCCAGCATGGAAGAGTTACGCTTACGCTCTACTGTAGTCTGTTAGGTGTGTCATAGTGTTATTCTCAAAAAACAATGCACATCTGAATTAAAAAATAATATATTGCTAAAAAATGCTAACCATAATCTGAGCTTTCAGCGAAGTGGTCCTCTTTTTGCTGCCGGGGGGTCTTGCCTAGGTGTTGATGGCCTCTGAGGGATGGGCGATGGTGGTTGCTGAAGGTTGGGCTGGCTACAGCAGTGTCTTAAAATAAGACCACAGTGAAGTTTGCCCCAACCGTTGACTTCCTTTCACAAATGATTTCTCTGTAGCTTGCAGTGCTATTGATAGCATTTTACCCCCAGTAGAACTTCTTCTTTTTATTTTTTTAAAGATTTTTATTTATTTGTCAGAGAGAGAGCACAAGCAAGGGGAGCAGTAGAGGGAGAGAGAGAAGCAGGCTCCTCACTGAGCAAGGAGCCCGATGCAGGGCTCGATCCCAGGACCCTGGGATCATGACCTGAGCCTTAGGCAGACGCTTAACGACTGAGCCACCCAGGCGTCCCCCCAGTAGAACTTCTTTCAAAACTGGAGTCCATCCTCTCAAACCTTGCTGCTGCTTTATCAACTAAGTTTATGGAATATTCTAAACCCTTTGTTGTCATTTCAACAGTCTTCACAGCATCTTCACCAGTAGATTCCATCTCAAGAAACCACTTTCTTTCCTCATTCATAAGAAGCAACTCATCATCCAGTACAGTTTTATCCTGAGATTGCAGCAAGTCAGTCACGACTTCAGGCCCCACTTCTCATTCTAGTTCTCTTGCTATTCCCACCACATCTGCAGTCACTTCCTCCACTGAAGTCTTGCACCCCTCAAAGCCACCGTTGAGGGCTGGAATCAGCTTCTTCCTAACTTCTGTTCGTGCTGTTATTTTGGTTTCTTGACATGAATCATAAATGTTCTTAATGGCATCTGGAATGGTGTATCTTTTCCAGAAGGTTTACACTTTTGCCCAGGTCCATCAGAGGAATTACTATCCATGGCAGCTATAGCTTACAAAACGTATTTCTTAAATAGGACTTGAAAGTCTACATGACTCTTTGATTCATGGGCTGCAGAATGGATGCTGTGCTAGCATGAAAACAACATTAATCTTGTACATCTCCCACAGAGCCCTTGGGTGACCAGGTGCACTTTCAATGAGCAGTCATATTTAGAAAAGAATCTTTTTTTTCTGAGCAGTAGATTTCAACAGTGGGCTTAAAATATTCAGTAAATTATGTTGTAAACATGTGCTATCCAAGTTTTGTTGTTTGATTTGCAGAGCACAGGCAGAGTAAGTGTGGTATCATTCTTAGGATTTTCAGATGGTCAATGAGCATTGGCTTCAACTTTAAGTCACCACTGCATTAGCCCCTAACAAGAATCAGCCTGTCCTTTGCAGCCAAGCATTGACTTCTCTGTAGCTATGAAAGTCCTAGATGGCATCTTGAAATAGAAGGCTGTCTCATCTACATTGAAAATCTATTGTTTAGTATAGTAGCCACCTTCATTAATGATCTAGCTCTTCTGGGTAACTTCCTGCAGCTTCTACATCAGCACTTGCTGCTTCACTTTGTACTTTTATGTCCTGGAATAAACTTGAACCTCATGAACCAACTTCTGCTAGCTTCCAACTTTTCTTCTGCAGCTTCCCGAACTTCTTCAGCCTTCATAGAATTGAACAGCATTAGGGCCTTGCTCTGGATTAGGCTTTGGCTTAAGGGAATGCTGTGGCTGGTTTAGTCCATCCAGACCACTCACACTTTCTCTGTATCAGCAGTAAGGCTGTTTTGCTTTCTTGCCATCCATGTGTTCACTGGAGTAGCACTTGTCCTCTCCTTCATGAACTTTTCCTTTGTGTTTATAACTTAGCTAACTGTCCTAGTTTTCAGCCCATCTTGGCCTTTACCATGCCTTCTTCACCAAGCTTAATCATTTCTAGCTTTTGATTTAAAGTGAGAGATGTGCAACTCTTCATTTCACCTGAAGACTTAAAGGCCACTGTAGGAGCAGTCGAACACACAACACTTATTAACTTTGCCCTCTTATTTGGGCACTGCTTCTGGTGCCCCAAAACAATTTCAGTAGTAAAATCAAAGATCACTGATCATAGATCACCATAGCAAATATGTAACAATAAGGAAAAAGTTGGAAATATTGCAGTAATTACCAAAATGTGATACAGAGACATGAAGTAAGCCAATGCAGTTAGAAAGATGGCTCTTGACAGGGTTGCAAGAAAGCTTCAATTTATAAAAAGAAACAAAAAAAAAACCAGTATCTCAAAGTGCAGTAAAACAAGGTATGCTTGAGACTATTTTTCTACTTCTGATCACCTAACATAGTGACTAGGACATGGCACAGTAAATCTCTGAGAATGGATGTCTATAAAGTACTTGGTACAATGTCCACCTTGTAATTATTTTTCTTAATTATTTTTCTTACTCTCTACCCCCAACACAGGGCTTGAACTCACGATCCCGAGATCAAGAGTCACATGCTCTACTGACTGAGCCAACCAGCCCCTAAGTTTTCTTTTCAGTAATAAGTTTAAGGGATTCCATATCTAAACATGTAATTAATTGTCTCTATTTCCTGGTACATAGAATGTTGAGTGTTGTATATTTATCGTACTTAGAATGCTGCTCAGCATATATTAGAAATACATATACTTAATAGTTCATTAGAATTTTAATTTTTTTAAAAATTCAAATTCAATTTTTTTTTTTTTTTTAAGATTTTATTTATTTATTTGACAGAGTGGGAGAGGGAGAAGCAGGCTTCCCGCCGAGCAGGGAGCCCGATGTGGGGCTCGATCCCAGGACCCTGGGACCATGACCTGAGCCGAAGGCAGACGCTTAACGACTGAGCCGCCCAGGCGCCCTAAATAAGTACTTTAAAGGTGTCTGCAGTCCAACGATACATATAACATGAGGGTGTCACTTGTGTAGGGGAAGCAGTTTGTTTTTCTTCCCCATGACTCTCCAGGGAGTTGGGAAATGTGCTCCAGATAGCCTCTTTCTACTCTCCTGTATCCCTACCTTTGAATTTACCTGTTTTCACCTGTCATTTGCTGACCTTCTTTGGGGTGAATTCACAGGTGCGTCTGGATGTCCTTTACCACGCTTGTCTCCTTGTTCCTTAGCTCCTGTAGCTTTGCTTGTCACTCTTCGTCCTGGACCTTACATCATTTGCAAGCGTTTCAGTTTTGTTATATTTTACCTCTGTCTAAAACCTGCCGTTCTCTGAGCTCCTTATTCTCGGACTTCCCACACATTTATATTGTGGTTCCCGTTGCAGGATATATGGGCGAATCATCTGAGGAGCTTTTTACAAATGGTCGTATATAGGCCTCACTAAATCAGCTCTCAGAGGGTTGGGTCCAGGCAGCGTCGTGAGAGGGAGTGAAAAATCAGGATACAAAGCACTCTAGCCACCACGCCCACGTGCACAGCGCCAGGTGTCAGGGCCGTTAAAATACTGCGGGGCTTCTCTGTAAGGGAATTGGATGGCATCAGGCTAAGGCCTCTGTCTTCTAGCATTTCAAGGATTCCCTTGTGTAACAGCCTCCTCCACGGAAGGACCCTAGTAGACAAGACCCTGCCACACATCCAAGCCCCTGAGGAGGTCTTTCTTGTTTTTTTGAAATAGGATAGATAGCCTACAGTCACCAGACATTTGAGGGGAAGCCTGCAGTGTGAGAGAGCTGAAGATAAAAAGATGACCCTGAAGGACACCCAGATGGCCCAGAAAACAAACAAAAGCTTGAAGGGGGCAAAAAGAAAAGCCTTACAAAAAACTTAGTGACTTGTCAACTAGAATTCAGCTACACAGACACGGCACAGATGATTCAGTGAAGGTTATATAACAAGCTATAAATGTTAACAACCTAGAGAATAGATGACAGACTTTGCGAGAAGAGGACGACGGGAAGTGAAGTGTAAGGAATCTGAACCTGGATTTCACAGGAGGTTTTGTGTAGGTGTGGGACAAGATGTAAAGGTTCCAGAACCCTTAGAGCAGCAAAGGTAACTAATAGAATGAAGGGGTACAGTGCTCTCAGGAAGAAGATGGGAGAGGGGAGTGGGACCAGTGAGCTAAACCGCGGCCCGGCCCCTGCTAGGCTCCGAGAACGGCTGCTGCGGGAACAAACGCGTGGCCCGCCGGCAGCCCGCGCGCCATGCGGAGCGACCCGCCTGGAGCGAGGCCCCAGAAATGGGAGGGCCGGCTCTCCGTTAGAATCTCTTCAGTACCTCCTCATTGTTCCGGCCACCGGTGTGTAATATTCGTTTATTTACTGATTAGAATTTATGTAGAAAAACAAAAACACCAAAAGCAAATCAAGCGTCTCCTGTGTGAAGACAGGCCTTCCTCATACTCATGATCATTTCTCACTTGTTTTTTCCTAGTGCTTCCATAGTTTCATTTTTACGTTCAAATCTTTGACCCCTCCAGATTGTGTTTTGGTGTGAAGGAAAATCGGGCTTCTTTTCCCTCCCCCCCCACCAAAAAGATGAGAAAAGCATGGCTAGTTTTCTCTGCATCCCGTGTTGAATCATGAATCCCGCCTTCCCCCATTAGTATGAAGGGCGACTCTTACGGAACAGTGAGCTCTACGTTCGCAGACTCTGTTAGGGATATTCTGCCACTGGTAC